AATGCCGAGAATTTTGATTCCGTCTGTGGAGATGGTTTTGTTTTTGTGTCGAGAGACAGTTTCGTTTTTTTTATGGTGCGCGACGTAATCGATTTTTATGGAAGATATTGAAGGTATGCTTGCGTCTTCTACATAAGTTGTGTTCATCTACTGATTTCGTTTCTTTTAGGTTTATGTTGGGTAATCATAACATACAATGTTTTCAATATATACCTTCGATTCTGTTTTTGTGTTGCTTACGCGCATCTTGGCTGTGTAAGCTTTTCCATGCCATTAATAGCTACGAATGCGATGTTTTTAAGGTGGGAAGAAAAGCTTCAGACATCTCATTTACCCGAAATGGTATTTGGCGATAATGCCTTAGTCCTAAAACACTTAAGCAGCGATACTAAGATCCATTTCAATGCGTTCGATGCTCTCATGGGTTGGAAGCAGGAAGGGTTGCCTCCGGTTGAGGTTCCTGCGGCTGCACAATGGAAATTTCGGAGGTATATTGACGACAAGCTCGGGTTCATATTGACCAAATACATGATTGTCGAAACAGTTGGATGTTCTTTGTTGTTATGTATGAATGAAACTGTACCTGATGCGCCTCTAATGTATCTGCAGCAAGCCATCTCAACAGGTGATACTAGACTATGATTATACTTTTACAACCCCGTACTGTGGAAGTGAAGTGATTTCGAGAGACGAAGAAAAGGTGTTTCCTTGGATCATGTTCAACCCTTTTTTCTACTTAAGATGACATAATCGCTTATACAAGACCTTTCTAATATAAAGCAGCAAGGAGCAGATGCAGATTTGGACAGGGAAACCAGTCTTCGATGGGAGAACTGTGAAGAGCGGATTGATTTGGCTGCTCTCTCACTTAAAGAACATATTCTCTTCTATGATGAGGTCCGGCCCCTGTCTAGCAAGAAAACACATACTTTCTGCTTCGGTAAACTCTTCTGAGTTATTGATGTCCTTCTTTTGATGTGTTTATCCTGTACCTCGTTCAGGTAGTTTTGTACGAAGATGAACTGGCTGATAATGGAGTGTCACTTCTCACGGTGAAAGTGGTAAATAGATCCTCGAATCTTTCTGTCACTCATATTCTTCCAAAATGATGAAAATATTGATCTTGTATTCGGTATTTAGTAACGGATGATCCTCTTGCTCTCCTGTTTTCTTCCAGAGAGTCATGCCGAGTTCCTGGTTTCTTCTTTTACGATTTTGGGTGAGTCAAGACAGGAAATCCCCTAAAAGTCAAAATCTTTTTGCAGGCTTGTTGCTTTAGTAGTACAGGAGCGTTTGTTGATATTTGTTTGTTTCACTATCTACGTGGTCGCATTTACAGCTCAGAGTTGATGGTGTTCTCATGAGATTAAGAGACACAAGAGTGTATTGCGTGTTTGGCAAGGGCGAGACACCCACTGTTCTCCGAGAAAGCTGTTGGAGAGAAGCCACAATTCAGTCTCTATCCGCTGTTAGTCTTCTCAACATTTCATCATTACTACTCCCATCTTTTATCAGATTCAAACAAATCATATAATGCTAGAGTTTTTCATCATTTTATTTTTTCCTTTCTTTCATCAACCTCGAGTCGGCGTTTCTGTCCACAGAAAGGGTATCCGATGGATTCAGCAGTGTATAGTGACCCGAGCGGAATCAGCCAGAGGCTTCCCGTGATTAAGCAGACAACTCAGAAGCTGAAGATCCCGCAGAAATCGTAGACTCTTATCAACTTCCAAGTCGCTCCACAAGAACAGCAATGTGCTTATATGTGTTAAGTATAAGCTTTCTTAGAGTCATTGAAACTACTCCTTTCGTGGTTGTGTTTTGTCGTGAAATTGATTCTGTTGATGGGCATCTAGTGGATGGTGTGTTTATGTTCAGATTCTACTGTAATTTAAGGGATATGTAACAAGTTTATTCAGCAAAATCAAACCAAGCTTAGACTTTGTATTGATGTTTTCTGGCTTTATACGAGTATAAATTGGCAAGTCTAGTGAACAAGATCACAACTCACGTACATAAATCTCAATTAGAACCAAACAAGCAAATTCGAACCAAGATCTTTGAAAAACAGAACAAAAGAACACGGCTTTTGCTAAAGTTGTTGGAACATGAAAAGACACATGAAATGCCCCAAGGCCTCGTGCTCTTTTCAAGCTGTGAAAGTTCTAGAGAGTCTTAAGAGAACGAAGGATGCAATCGTTCTTCTTTGTTATTTAGTTTTCTTACTAATTGAACGGAACGAATGAGTTCTTCTCCGGACAACCCCACCTACTCTCTCTCCACTGCTTCATGAATACTTTGGCACTCTATCTTCTTGCTTCAAGTACCTGTGTATTATTTGACATAAAAGTTCGCATTAGAAACTCAAAAATCAGTGCATCTGTCGAAGAACAGACTATTGACATATGCATGCATTAGGCAAGTTCCATTTCCCCGCGTTTGTCTGTTAAGACAATAAATTGAAACCTCGAGAAAAAGCTCTACATTTCGAAAAAGCCCGTGTAGTCAGAGAACATGCTCGCCAACCGAATATGTGGTAGCAAAAATAACTCAAGGAGCACCTTTTTAAAAAAACTCAAATAGCATTAGCATGGCCGCATCACCCGCAAGCGGATCGGTGGAAAAACCAAAGCTTAGATGAAACTGTGTATCTCCGGGGGAAAATGGGAGAGTTCTCTGCTCTACGGTTTCTATAGTAATCTGAGTGGCGGCTATTAAGATAAGGTGCCATGCCTCAGGGAAAATTTTAAATACGGATAACACCTAGTCTAAAGATTGGTCATATCCTGTATGCCAGAAAATGAAGAGAAATGGCAGCTGATATGTTATTTCACAAACACAAAACGCAGAAGTTGAAAAAACAAGAAACCTACAATGAAGCAGCACTCTCTTGTCAGCGACTGTAAATCCACGTGCATCACCCATCTTTTCCATTCCTACCTATCAATTCCAAGCCCGATATGTTCTTAACAGCCGGAATAAGAACAACAGAACAACCAAATCTATCATTCTACTCAAAACAAGAAGTAGTGCTACACCTGATGTTGAAGAAACTTCAGGAGAGGAGAATTTAAACAAGAAAGCTTTGAAAACTCAACCATTTTCATGAAATCCTAAGGACAGTAACACTCACAAAGACACTACTAGCGATCCTGACAAGTGCGTCGGAAGGTACCGTTTGACAGCTCGCAGAAAGCCCGCACATTAAGAGTGAGGTGAGAGGTGAGTTGGGCTGCAGCTGCAACACTGTGCAATGGTAGCAACGACTGTGTGCATCCTAGTTCTCCAAGGTTCCTATACAAGCAAGAAAACAAACATGAATATGAAACTTCTCAATTCACCACAAGAAACAGAGACAAAATTCAGTTGGCACTTGGCAGGTGAAAATTTTCATGCAAGTCCTAACGTAATCAATGATAAATTTTGAGAACCATAGTTGCATTGTGAATCCACCCGAAAAACGGTAAAAACAAAATTTCAGATGTCAGCAGCCAGCAGGCCCCAAATCCAAGTGGGTTCTGTAATATGCGAGACATTAGTTTATCCCCGTTATCCCAAAACCGACAAGTCATCAAACAATTGTAAGAAAAAGAGCAGTTGACAGATCTAGGTGATGATGACTTCACTTGGATATCCAAATATGGAAGATATGAAAATTTTCAATTCCGACCATTCTCTCCAATAAATCGAACATGAATATCAATGACTACTTGATTGGCCTCAGACTCAGATGATATGATAAGCAACTCAAGATTTGAACTATCAAGTGACAAACAAACTCATCATTAGAAATGTCATTACCGGCAATCTTACTCTTAAGTAATTACAAAGCATTCACAAAACACTGCTACCAAGGTATTTACAGAATACCAGATGAAAATCCTATGCAAATTCAGATCCGGGAACACAAGATGGTCAAACAAAATTAGGGTTTAACAAACCCAGGAAACATAAGATCGAGAAGAAAACATGCATCATTAGAACCAACAGACAGTACACCGAACGCGGAAAGAGCGAGATGTAGGAACCTGGAGGGAGAGAAAGAAGCAAAACGGCGGCGGGGCATGGAAGATTGAGGAGGACGGAGGCGGGGGAGTGACGCCGCCGGACGATGGCGAAGGGACGGTGCTCTCGCCGCGGCGGAGGCAAAGGAGCGGCCAAAGGATCCGGCGCTGCGCCAAGCCATTTTTTGCGATGTCTGTTTCACGGTCGAGAAGGAGAAGTAACGGTGGCTTCTCCTAGGGTTTAAGGAGGCTGTTACCAGATATTCGGGTGCGGCGCGCTTCAGGGAATAACTTCTCATTAAAATCATCACAGCCGTTGATTTGCTCTCTGTGGATCAGATGGTCAACATTTGACCATTTTTTTTTCAATTGTTTTTTTGTTTTACCACATAAGGCCTAGTTTTGGACCATCATTGGCACAGACAGAAAGAGCTGCTTGGCATAAAACGAATAGTTTATTAATCTATTTCAGTTTGTTTTGGTAATATTTTTTTCTCATACCAAATGTATGGAACTGACTAAAATCTGCAATATTTTCTCAAGAAGAAATTAACAAAATTTTATACAAACCAAAACCAATATGAAAATTGAAAATATTGTAATTATTCAGCTAGCTATAAAATGTGTAGAAAGAAATAGCTGCACATGAAAATTTCAGAATGTAAGTCATATATATAATAATTGTCTATATAGCGTATATAATGAGAGAATGTCCTTTTATAAATACAAAATGAATCATGGTTATAAATTTAATTCCGAATCGAAACACAGAATATTGGAAGAAGATTTAAAGAAAATCTCAAACTGTATCAGAATTTTCTACTTGAAAAACCAAGTTTGTGTGAATTAAAATTTTCTCTAAGCAATCATAATTTACTATCTTCCCATAATCATTTTCCCCTATAACTCACATTTTTATTATTTGACATATAAAATTAGGTTTAATTAGCTTCTTTTAGATTGTTTTTTGTTACAAAACACAAAAATGTAATGTAAGGAAATCGGAAACCCTACATATTTACTATTTTAAGAAAATAATAAGAAAATCATAATATTTCTACCAATTTGGAGAGATCCGAATCGATCTTTTAATAATTAAGGTTCGAATTTAATTTGACTAATTTGAGGCTCTGTCTAATGAGAGAAGAAAAGGGTGTAGGAGCTGTTAAAGTTTGAGAAATCCCACTTTTGACCTCTATTATTTTTCTATATAAAAAAATATTCTATTATTTTCCTTTTGATAAAAATATTGGTTCTTTTATTTAGCTCCATGTAACGAACAAGTAGATACGGTTTGATTCTATCTAACTATGTTTGACTTTCTCCTTTGCTAACGATGAAAAGCATCCATCAAAGTCAAACCTCACGACCGGTCTTGTTCTTATTGCATGTTAGCTTGAGTTAAATATTTTTTTTGTCAATTCATTAATTTAAAACGTCATAAAAAAATGAGCAAATTCCAATTAGTATAACAGATCGTTCGAATTAGACTTGCAATTCCGATAATTATCCCGTCACCATGCATGCATGCATGCGCATCAAAGTTCTTTTTATAAAAAAAAAATTGTATATGTTCCTACTCCAAGACTTTTTTTAAAATTTTCAAACAAAACGTCATTTAAAATTAAACGGAGGGAATAATAATAATAATAATAATAATAATAATAATAATAATAAATTCAAACAATCTTTGTGTGTAAAAGGTGCATTTTAATGGGGGCGGGGCACAACACAAACTAGAGGGACCGTGTGAAATGGTCATATATAATCAAAGTCAAATACATTGTTTATGCCTCAAAACCACCTACACGGAGAAACCCGTATATAATAACAAGGCAAAATTCAAAATCCCACCAACCGAATTGAATCTCACACGCGCTCGATCAAATTCCAAAGACGACGTGCCAAGAAAAAAAGAAAAGGAACATGAGAAGATCTTATTCATTTGTTCTGGTTATCAATCTAACTTTGATTTTCTTTCTTCTCCTTCTCTCTTGCTCTCCATGCATTGAAAGCTCAAGGCCTCCCAAAGATCAGGAGCAAGAACAAGAACAGGAATATCATCATCATCATCATCATCATCATCACCATCATGGTCTCCATGGATCTCCAAAAGAGAGATTCTTTGTCTATAAAGCTTATTCTGGGCCAAGCCGCCGTGGTCGTGGTCATTGATTGTTCATCCTCCACGACATACTTGAGGTTATCGTAGGAATATAACATTTACAATCTTCTATTGGGTTTTGTAGGTCGAAAAATGTAACGATCCATGCATTCAAATGTTTCCTCTTTTTTTTTTTTTTTTTTTGATGTGATGATACAATTCAGGGTTTAAATTTATATGATATGATTGTATTGTGCATTCCGCATCCATTCAGTTTTCTTGTATTTTTGATTTAGCATTTTGTCCGAAAGGATGGGTTTTTTTTTACAATTTTAAATTCTAAATCTCTATTTTTTTAATTAATTATTTCCACTCGGAATTCAATTAATTCCCATTCCAAAACGGAAATAATATTCGAGACTCATTTCCGACCTTTCGGGATAGCGTGCAATAGTGTATATAATCATAATTGTATAAATTTGGAATAAGGACGTATGATCGTAACAATTTTATTGAACATATCATCACAATGATAGTCAATTTTTCATAAATCTTTCCTACAAATGTGCCGACATTGATTTCAAACGGATAATTTATGGGTATCTAAATTATCAATTAAGATTTTACGATATTTATGAAATTGTAACTTCTCTTCTCTTTCAACGAAAATAAAATATGATATCTAAATCGTATATGAATAATCGGGCCCAAAATTGGAGGGGAAGAAAGAACTAGATCCACATTAATTAGCTGTGCCCAAATTAAAATCAGGACATTAACACATATGTCACGGTCAAAGTCTTCGTCAACCTCTTTCTATAGAATCACGCCAACGTATTATATTTCCTCGAAAATAGAAGAATATCTATTTGTGATCATTGATATTATACGGTGAAGTTTTATTTTATGAAATTTGTGTATTATACGGTGAAGTTAACAATTAGATTAAAAATAATTGGATATAATTTTATTTTTAAGAAAATTAAAACAAGTTCGAGTTAAATACAACAAATACATTTTCATTGGACTGACCAAGTCCTCAATAGCTCCTCTATTTAAAGCATCACATCTGCGTCTCTCTGCATAAACAAATCAACGTATTTGCATGAGGCCACTTGACTTCAACAAGATGGCTAACACAACCTTCCTTGTTATGTCCCTCGTGCTCACTCTCGGTCTGGTCAACGCCGTTGACTACATCGTCGTCGACAACACCGGAGACTCCGACGGAGGCCGGAGATTCCGAGATGAGATCGGAGGCTCCAGCTACGCCGAGCAGTCGCTGACATCGGCGACGGAGTTCGTGTGGTGGTCTTCCAGCAGTCAAACACCGTGTCGGAACGAAAACCCGTGGAGAAAATCACGCTGTTTATGGAGAACGGAGACGGCGTGGCGTTCACGTCGGGAGATGAGATCCACTTCAAGATCTCGCGGGTTTCTCGGGAGACGTGAGGAGGGAATTTACCGGCACGAGATCGTCCACGTGTGGCAATGGAACGGGTCGGGTCAGGCTCCGGGCGGGTTGATTGAAGGGATCGCTGACTTCGTGAGGCTGAAAGCGGGTCTTGGGCCGGATCATTGGGTTGAACCGGGCCAAGGAGACAGGTGGGACCAGGGGTATGACGTCACCACTAGGTTTTTGGATTATTGTAACGATTTGAGGAATGGGTTTCTTGGGGAGTTGAACCAGGAGATGAGGGATGGTTATAGTGAGGGTTTCTTAGTCGACTTGCTGGGTAAAGATGTGAACCAGCTTTGGACGGATTACAAGGGGGAATATCTAAATTACCTTCTATCTCTTATATTGACTTCTCTCACTACCTTCCAAAATTGAAATTAAAAAAAAAAGAGTACTGAACAATTTAATAGACAATTAAACCCTTATAAAAGTTAAGAAATACAAAAAAGTCCTTCCTCTCAATTTAAAAAATTAAAAAACAAAAAGATAGGTTATATTCTCTCTCCTAAACTCACGATCCCTCTCTCTTCTCTCTCTTCTAGCTCTCAAAATTTTCTCTCTCATAACTCTTGCTATCTGTTCTCTCTCTCTCTCTCTCTTTCGGAACCATCGAATTTTTATCCAAAATTTAGAATAGTTGAATTTGTCGCTATTTGTAAAACTGTCATACGATTCAAAGAAGAAATCACACCACAGACAAAACAAGGCTACAAGGCTTCTACATCAGCCCAAGACTCATCTTCATTGGCATCTTCGAATAAGACCGAAAACCGAATGCAAATTGCTGAGCTAAATTATCACCGGGTAGGTTACTTCTCTTTTTCACAAAACAAAAACTCACATGGTCTTCCGTCACTTGGTCACAGATTTCACATTAGTTTGGTAACGTCATATGGTACTATGTTAAACTGGCCATATGGTACCATATTACATGATCGTATGAGAGTTTGCCCTATTTGGTCGCATGGTCTGTTGGTCACTTAGTCTGCAATCGGAATATGGTTCACATATACTGTAAATGTATAAGTTATCCCGCATCACATGGTTACAGGTCATAAGTTACATAGTCACAGATATCATGTCACACGGTCACATGGTATCATGTTCACTCGGTCACATGGTGACATAATGCAGAATGCTAACATATGTTTTTTTGTAACACATTGAGGAGACAATATATGAATTATTCCAAATTTATAACTGTCAATAAAATGGTGAAAAAAAATTAAGTGATGACATAGGAAGCAATACATGGTTAGTGACATTATTTTCACGAAGCACATTATGTGGTGAAAAAAATCAGGTGACTTGTCAACCGTAATATTTTTGCACACTTGGATGATTCTGAGTCCCACCAGAAACATTGCATATGAAAACTGGGTTCCACAAGGTCACGAGATCAGTTAGTTCACAAGGTCACAAGACAATAGGTAACATAGTCACAAGTGATTTGGTTACATGGTCTCAAGTCACATGATGTCATCAATTTGTTTTGATTTGCAGTTGTCTTTTATATATAAAATGGAAGAAATTTAGTTCTCTTCGAATGGAGGTACTTCAATAATGAATCGCAACTCCAACACTTGTTTCACATGCAATTCGATAGGACATTGAAGATGGCTCCAACGACATTCATATCGAAAGATTAGGTTTTTTATGCAATTTCTATACAAGAATCCGGAAAGCATATACTGGAAGAAAGTTCATGACTTAGAAATTTGTTCGAGAAATTCTTTGAAAAAAAAGAAAAAGAAGGAAAAAAGTATGATAGATGAAGAAGAAGAAGAACAACAACAACAATAAGGACAAGAATGACAATGGTTGTGAGTGCGGTGTAGAATTAAGAACTTATTTCTTTTTGTTATAAACCCTAAATATGATCTTTTTTATTTGTTTATTATAAACATAATGAATTATATATTATGATATTATATTTTATGTTTATTTTATATCTGAACTTGTTTATAGATACTACTACAAAATATGATGTAAAAAATATTGGAAGGTAAAAAATTTGAGTTGATAAATTTTGGAGGGAAAAAATTTTGGGTTGAAAAATATGGATTAAAAATGTTAGACCCACCGAAATCAGGGTTGAATTGTCAACCGTAGTTTTTTTCCACACTTTGACTATACTGGGCTCCACCAAGAATATTGCATATTTAAACTGGGACCCACAATATTTCGGTCACAATTGGTCACAATGGTCGATTTAGTGGATTCTTTCAAATGAATCGATGTGATTGTCATCACATATTCCATATGCACCATTTTGAATTATAATAATTGAGTTATTTGAATTTTGTGTGCAAAAGTAGTTCTAACAAATATGATACATTAGTGTTCATAGTCTTTTATGAAAAATTTTGACAATTTTGGTCTTTTTACATTACAAACTCGTTTTAATGTTTTGTAATTTTATCATCAACATAATATTTGTGTTCCTTATACCTTATAATAATAGACCAAAGCTTGAAAAATACGTTTCACTTGTATTTAGCTTCGTCACTTGGTCACAGGTCACATCCGGTCACAATGGTCACATAGTGTAAAATTGCACATTGGTCACATGGGACCCAACCACTACTCATATGAGATAAATTATTTACTGTTTTTTAATATGTAGAATAGAACCAAAGTATTATAATCTATTATTTTAATATATGATTATACAAAGATCTTAATGTTTTAGTGTAAAGATATAATATAACATTATTATACAATTTATATTTTTCTATTCATTCAAAATTAGGGTTTCTCTCAAACTTTGTTGATGTTGATACTCCTGTTGCGACATGAATCCGCTTTCGGACTTTACTAGGACCTGATACGAGTTTGTAACTATGCATGAGATTGTGTTTTCTTACACTCCAACATTTCGAGTTTAAAATCAATATTGTACGCAACTTCCAATTACCGTCGGATCCAGTAACTTCCAACACTCTTTAGTTTTTCATCACATTTCCTTCTCATTCATATATGTTCTCCATTCTTATTCACTATCCATTTACCATCATACAAAAAATATACAATTGTCGATCTCTTATCTCGTCCATCTATAATAGTTATAGAAAATATAAATACAAAATGCAGATCAATTCGACTATTCTGGATACAGTGACCATGTGACCATATGAATATAGTATCATGTGACCATTATTAACATTTCTGACTATTCTTGACTATGTGACTATGTGATTATATGAACATAGTACCATGTGATAATTATTACCATTCGACCATTTAATTTAAACACATGGGACCATTATTATCAATCCGACTATTATGAAGATCATGTGATCATGTGATCATGTGAATGTGGTACCATGTGACCATGTGAACCTGGTACTATGTGACCATGTGAACATGGTACCATGTGAATCTGGTACCATCCGAATCAGATATATGACAATACCATACAACGACAAAGGACAAAACTTCACAAACATCACCAAGTAGAATAAAAGAAGTGGAAAAAATATCATTCTTCATCAAAATAACATCCACAACCATCAATGTGTATGAAAAATAATAAAATTTTACAGATCTATGACAATACCATACAACAAAGGACAAAACTTCACAAACATCACCAAACATCACCAAGTAGAAAAAAAAGTGGAAAAAACATCATTCTTCATCAAAATAACACCCGCAACCATCAATATATATGAAAAACAATAAGATTTTCACAATTAATTATTTATTTCTAACTCGTCACTAATTTTTCACTGATTTTGTTTTGATTTTGAGTGATTTTGATGAAAAATCGGAACAAATTCGATGAGAGAGAGTGGTAGGAGAGAGAAACTCAAAAAATAGGAGAGAGAAACCGAAAAAGAGAGGAGAGAGAAAAACTCTATATTTTAGGAGAGATATTTTTTATTAAAAAAATTATATAATATAATATATTAAAGGTATTTTAGTCATTATGTATGAAAAAAAGTATAATAAAAGTTGGAATTTTTTTTTAAGGAGAAGGGTACGAGTCGATATTGATTTAGCATATTGAGTGTATAATAGAAGTTGTCCCGATTACAAGGCTAATTATGGCCAATAAGTGAATTGTATGATTATTTTGTGTTATGAATAATTTTATTTTAAACATATTTTGATATGTTCTTTGAATAAAATTTAAATTTATAGAGTTAACAAAAATATTAAATTTATATGTTATGATTTTTTTAAATTTCTAAAATAACAAAAAAAATCTATTACGCAAAAAATCTATCAAAGGGGAAGGAAAGCATCCAAAAAATTGTCGAAGGCCCGCTCGTTGATTGACTTCTCTTAATTTTATCCAAACAAGTGGCGTTTCGTGCATTCTGTGATACGTACACTTTCTTCCATCTCCGGCGAAATACGCCGTGCGTGAGGCGATGGAGTCGCCGTTCGTTGCGGCGGCGATCGCCCTCACAATCCTCTTCTCCCTCCTCTTTACCGTCTCCGGCGGATCTCCGGCCAACTCCCTCTGCGCTCAGCTTATCCAACCTTCTGGTTATCCCTGCACCGAACACACTGTATTCTCTCTCTCTCTACCTCCTTCCTTTTGGTGTATGATCAATTTAGCATACTATTCGTTGGTGACGAAATGAGATTATCGAAAACTTTAGATGATCGATTTTGGTGTGTTGTTATTGATGGAGAGTGAGGTCTTTGAGATACGATTTATAGTATTTCTCGATCCGATACGCGTGTTGGAGATCCAATTTCACAGCTCCGATGCCATTTTAGGTGTGAATGGGGCATGATAAAATTGAGAGATCGAGAGAGGGAAAATTAACCGAATTGGACTCTGTATTTGTAAAGAGTTTAATTAATTAGCCATTAACGTTTTCTTTAACCGTGTCTACCTGTATCCGTAAAGAGTTGTCATGACCAGGAACTAGTGCCTTGTGTTTCTATTCAGATTCAAACAGAGGATGGATATATACTGGCTCTTCAACGCGTGACTTCGCGTACTGATCGTCTAAGGCTTCGACCTGGTCCACCTGTTCTGCTTCAGCACGGACTATTTATGGTACTAGTTCTGAAGGATACTAATCCTTTTTAGGTAAATTAATATGCATTTGAATTGAAGAAGTTTGACTGCTGATATTTCCTCTTCATATGGGGTTCTTTTCAGGCTGGAGACTCATGGTTCTTGAACTCCCCTGAGCAATCACTCGGCTTCATTCTTGCTGATCATGGTTTTGACGTATGGGTCGGCAATGTCCGTGGAACACGCTATGGTTATGGTCATACATCATTGTCTGAGAAAGATAAGGTATGCAAAGCTTTCCTCAATAGGTATGGATGCGCTTTCATGTGTATCCAATGTGTTGATGTATGGCTCTTCGTAACCTGAAAATTCACAAATTAATCTTGGTTCAGGATCACACATCTTATATGTTCCATCCCTTATGTTTGGCCCAGAGGAAACTCTCCTGAGAATATTCATTATAGAAGAGGCGTTATTGTGATCCTTGACTCTATGACATGAGCTCTAATAAAATGGGGGTAGTATGTTATTCAATTTTGGTGTATTTGTTTTATGCTAAACTGATTAATATATAGGTAAATACTCATGGACTTCATTTGCATCGTGTTTCATTCTATCACTGTCATCTAACCTAGGGAAAG